GATATATTTATAAATTTTAAATTTATTTCCCTCTTTTTTTTTCTCTCTCAATCAATTAATTTACATTTTATGATAGTAATTTGATGCATGAACAATCGAATTTCTATTTACGATCATTTTCGATCATCTATGATCAATCGATCATTTTCGATCATTTATGATCAATCGATCATAAATTGCATTTTATTTTATGGGATATTTGTCCAGCGGGTTATTTCTTTAAATTAATTAATATTTTAATAACTGTATAAAAGAAAATGAAAATTTCACTGACTAAAATATTAGTGAATGATTAGAGATTATAGAAATTTGTTATTAAATATTGAAATTAAAATATAAAAAAATTGTAAAAATTCAACAAAAAAAAAAAAAAAATTAATAATATGAAATAAAATAAAACTTTAGTGAATATAATTAACCATATAATTAATATAAAATATTAATATAATTAATAACAATATATAATGAATATAAAATACTAATGTAATTAATATATTAATTTAATTAATGACATATAATATATTACTATTATTAATAAAAAAACTATAAAACGCAGAGTGATTATTAAAAAATAAAATTTTACACAATTTTATGATAAATATGAAAAAATGAAACAAAAAATTTTGTTTATATTTAAAATATATTATAAAATATTTATATTTGAGATAAATATTAGAATCGAACATTTTAAAAGAATTTTATTAAATAAAATTTATGCAAGAGCAAAAGATTTAAAAATTCAAAAATTATATTTTATTTTTTTTTCCAAATATTTTTTTTTTATTTTTGCATATTTTGTTTTTTTTTTTTAATTTTTAGTAATATTGCACAAATATTTTAATATTTATGCATAATATTGATCATAAAATTAAAAAAAAAAGTTAATGCAAAATTTTTTTATTGTCATTTTTCATTTTTTTTTTCTTTTTTACTATTTAAAATTGAATTGCTGCAAGAAATATGGGAAATATTTAAAATGCAAATAGAAATTATTTGCAAATTGTAAAATTTTTTGTAACTTTTTTATGTCAAAAAAATGAAAAAATAAAAAAATAAAAATAAATTTTAGCGCAACTGAAATGAAAAAAAAAAGGAAAGAAAGTGAATTTCTTCAAGTTTATATAAATTTAAACAAAATTTAATAACTCATTCAGCTTTTATTTGAATATTTCATGTTTCTTTCATTTCAAAAAATAAATGTGACAGTTTGAAAAAGAAAAAAGAGACACAAACAAAAATTTCTGTTCGTTTTTTCCTTTTTTTTTGGATTAAAATTTGAAATTTAAAAGAAATGAAAAAAAAAATTGATTATAAAATTTGTAAAAAATTTTTTGCACTTTATCAAATTAAAATATTTTAAAAATAAAAAAAAAACGAAAAGAAATTTCAAAAAAAAATTTTTTTTTCTTTTTTGTTCGATTTATTTCAGATAAATAAAAAGGGTAGAAAGAGAGAGAAAAAAAAGAGTAATAGGAGAAGAGAGTGGAAGAGAAAAAGGAGAGAGAGAGGGGAAGAGAGAGAAAGTAAAGGAAAAAGGAAGAAATTAAATAGAAAATAAATAAATAAAGGAAAATTTAAAATTGTTTGTTGCGTAATTATCGTAATTAAAGAATATTTTAAAAAATTTTTTCTTTCTCTAAAACTGAATAAAAAAAGGAAAAATAAATTCAAAATTTCATTTTGCGTATTTTTTTGCATAAGCATTTTATTATTATTATTAATTTAAACATCTTTTAAACATTCATTAATACTTCAGTAAATTCTTTTAAATAAAAATAAAAATGAAAATATTTAGATGTCAATTCAGTACTGAACATATTCAACAAACACTTGATACTTAATAAAATTACTTGATAAAATTAAAAACTTTAATATATTTACAAATTAATACATTATTAAAATAAAATATGATGTATTTATACTATACGTAATTCATTAATATAAAATATATTATTTTCTCCTATTATTTATTATTTCTATTGTATCACTATTATTGCTTATCATATTATCTTATTTATTATTATTAATATAATATTAAGATTTGTATGATGTTCTTGCATTAATAATTTTCGTTCTAACCGAAATTTAAATTAAAATTTAAATAATTGAGTTGTAATTACGCGAATATCGATTTTAGATAAATAAAGGAAGAAAAAAAAGTAAATAAATAGGCCACAAAGTTTTTTAACCTTTGTATTCAACAATGCTATCTGTTCGTTTTCATTCCTAAATTTCTAATTAAATGAAATTAAATTTTTGATCGAAGAAGCGATTAGAAAATACTTTGAATATTTCGATTATTTCTCATTCTTATCATCTAACACATCAATTGAAAATATTTATTGAATAAATATTGCAAAATATTATTCACTCACATATATTTGATCGAAATATACATAAATATGTATTTCGATCAAATGATTTTTAAGTTTTAAAGTTCTGAATTTAGAAGTGTCCTAGGAGAAGTGAGAGAGAAAGAAGAGGAATTAAATGAATTTGTTGATTAAATTAATTTTTTCTTTATATTCCATTATTTATTAATTAAATCAATTCTATTCTCTCTTTACATTCAATGAAAAGTCGAGAAAAATACATCGAAATTTTGCACTTATTTAAATTAATTTTCTTTCTTTTTCACTTTTTCACAATTTTTTTCTCCTTTAAGAAAATAAAAGTATTAAAAAAAAAAGAAGGAATTTTGCAAAAGAATGAAATTCTGAAAAAGAAAAAAAAAATGGAAAACTAAAAGGAAAAAATAGAAATACTATCAATTTTTGCTTATTTTCTCTTTTATTCTAATTTTTCATTCAAATTCGCAGTTATTATTTTTGAATGATATTTTCTTATTCTGAAATGGATAACTTCAATTTGAAAATTTTGAAAAAAACTTGACATAAATATTTAATTTCTCATCTTTTTCCATCTTTTTCTTCTTTTCTTCCTTGCTTGCCCCTCCTCTTATTTTGAGTATACAATTTAAAATTTGCATTTTTTAACATCCTAAATTTTGGTTGTTTAGCTCTTCATGAATTGATTTAAAATAAGCCAGCAATTTATTATCAACGATTTCTTGATTTTAATATAACGATTATTATTATTATTATTATTATTATTATTATTATTATTATTATTATTGTGATTATTGTTACGTCATTTTTAAATCATAGATTTCTTTGTAAAACTTAGAAAGCGAAGTATTAGATCAGTAGCGGAATTTATAAAATTGTTATTATTAATGTTTAATTTGTTATTTTTTCTTCATAATTATTATCAATTATCGTTGTTGATTATCATCGTCATCATCATTATTATTACTAGTATTGTTATTGCTATACCCATTATTATTATTATTATTATTATTATTATTATTATTATTATTATTATTATTATTATTATTATTATTACTATTGAATTTTAAACAATTCCTGTAAGTACTAAATCAAAAAAAAGGAAAGAAAAAAAATGGAAAATAGAAGTGGAACGGAAACAGTTGCATTAGCAAATATTAAATTAGGAATTTATGGAAAACTTTTTCAATGCATAAAATTTTACATCAAATATTGCTAACTCATCCATATATTCCATTTTATCCCTTCTCTTCCTACTATTTCACTCTCTCTCTCTCTCTTTTTTTTGCATTTCCATTTTTTAAAAATTTAATCTGAAATTACAAAATTAGTATTATTTATTATTTCTATTTTTTTTGTTTATTTTTGCTTTATTTTTTTTTCTTTTTGCTTTCTTTATTTATTTTCAACTTCAATAAAATAAAATCAATTTGGAATTTTTTAACATAATTTTTTTTTTTTTGTAATTTATAGAAAAAAAAAATTCATTTTTTGAAATTGATAAATGTTATCATTCATCTTCAGTTATCTTTTTTATTTTGAAAATTATCATAAATTTATTAATTATCATTTTTATTTTGCTACTTTCATTCATTCATTCATTCATCTTTTTACAATTATTTGTATAGAAAATGCAATAAATGAAAAGTACTTCGTTAGTTAGATAAATTTTAGATAAATTTAATCGAAATAATGAAAAAAAAAAAAAAAGAAAGAGTAAAGCAATCAAGAAAAAGAAGGAAGAAAATTTGTTGAGAAGAAAGAGCTAATGAAAAATTCATTTTACTTGTTGATTCATCCTTTTCATCAATTGTTAAAATAATATGAAATTATTCATACTTCTTCTTTCTTCATTTCTTTCTCCCTCTCTCTCTCTCTCTCTCTCTCTCTTACCTTTCATTTATTTTTTTTTATCAAATTTTATAATTATTAATGTTTAATTATTATTTTAATAAAATTTATTAAATGAATGAATGAATGAACGTAGTGCTATAATTTTAAATCTTTTTTTTTTTTAAATTTAATATTTTATCTTTTTATTTGCGTTTTTTTTTCAATTCAAACTGTTTTTTTTTTTAAATAAAAATGTTTTTCCTTGAGTTAATAATGGGAATAAGTAGCGATAATTTGATGAATTTGCTGAATTTTTCATTTTCTTTTTTTTTTTTTTTATTTATGAAAAACAAAAAAAAAAAAAACAAAAACAAAAACGCGCGTTACTTTATTAATTCGATTGAATTTAATCAAATGCACAATTTTTGTTATAAAAATTTGCATTCTATTATTTTAGGTCAAAAAAAAAAATTCAAATGTTTTTTCTAAATTAAAACAATTTGGTGCAAATAATCGACACAAGAAAATAGATCTAACATATATTTTGTATGCATATATATACATAAACATATATTTGTATGGGTAAGAATTATTAATTAATATAAAATAAAAAAAGGAAAATTGAAAAACTAAAAAAAAAAAAAGTAAAAATGAAAATAACGAAAAATTTATTTACTTTCTTTATCAACATTTCAAGTTGATTTTCTTTTTTCTTTATAAATCCAACTTTTTTCTTTTGCTTTTAAGAAAAATAAATTAATTAAATTTTTTTCATATTTATTTTGATTTGATTTAAAATTGAAATGAATTTAATTTCAGATAAGTGCTGTAAATGTGGTGGAAGTATCACAAATGAACAACCAGGTTGTACAGCAATTGGTGAAATGTTTCATATAAAATGTTTCACATGCAAGGAATGTGATAAACAACTTGCTGGTGGCTCATTTTATAATGTCGACGGTTGTCCACTTTGTGAGGATGATTATATGGTAAGTAAGTGAAAGTAAGTAAGTAAGTGAAAGTGAGTAATTGAAAGCAAGTAAGTAAGATCACATGGTAGTGAGGAAGTAAGTAAATAAAATTGTGTGATAAGTGAAAGTTAAGTAAGATTTTATAGTAGTGGAAGTAAATAACTATGATTGTATGGTGAGTGAAAGTAAGTAAGTAAGACTATGTGATAAATAAAAGTAATATACAGTAAGTAAAAGTAAGTAAGTAAGATTACATGGTAGTGAGAGTAAGTAAAGTAAGATTATATGGTAGTGAGAATAAGTAAAGCAAGACTATATAATAAGTGAAAGTAAGTAATGTAAGTAATAAGATTATATGATAAGTAAGTGGAAGTAAGTAAGTAAGATTATGTGATAAGTAAGTGAAAGTAAAAATAAAAGACGAAAAAAAGATTATTTTAAATTCTAACTTTTAAAATTACTTCGAATTTAATATTTATTAAAAATTTAATGTCTTTAATTCATTTATAAATAATAGCGAATTCTTTCTCTTACATTTTTTTTTCTATTTTCATTATTTTAATTCTCAAAAAATTTTACTAATTAATTCACATTTTAATATTTGTTAAATTCTATGTTTTAATCATTTAAAAAAAAGGGAATTCTCCAATTTGATTATTTTATTATTAAATTTTTTTATTTCCAAATTTATTGTTTTTTTTTTAATTATTCAAATTTGTATAACAAATTTATTGTATATTATGCATTAAATTATATGAAATTTATTATTTAATTATATTATTTCGTGCAATATAACATGAATTCATTAAATATTCCTATTAAATTTATTAGATTCAATTTGATACAAATTATATTTTATATGTTAAAAGTAGTAATAATAAAATTCTAAAATAATTAATTGTTACTTATTAAATTAACCTAAAATTTTTTAATTAGAAGAAAAGGAAAAAGGAATTTTACATTAATTATTATTGCATTTCCTAAATTATTTTTTAATTTATTTCCATTTTTTTTTTGGAAGAAATTAATTTCGAATTAATTATATAATTTAGTAAAATATTTATAAGCAATTTCGATATAAATTCAATTCATTTAATTCTCGATAGATTGTTTATATAAATTGCATAAATAATTCGGAGAATTTATAATTTTGTAAGGAAAAAGAAAAAAAGCTAATAACAAAGTAAAAAAATTCAAATTCTTTTGAAAGTAAATTTTTATTTATGTTTGTTTATCATTTTTTTTTTAAATTAAAATTTATAATTTTTAAAATTTATGCAAAAAAAATTGAAAATTGAAAATAGTAAATGAAATGAAAGCATAGTTACCAGTGAAAATATTCTTTTAATTAATAAAATTTTTTTGCAGAAATCATTAGAGAAATGTAACAGTTGCGGTAAACCGATTACGGAAAAGTTGTTACGTGCAACCGGAGGTGCATATCATCCGGATTGTTTTGTTTGCACCGTTTGCAAAAAATGCTTAGATGGTGTTCCATTTACCGTTGATTCAACTAATAAAGTACATTGTGTTGTATGTTTCCATGAGTAAGTTTAAGTTATTGCTATTATTAATAAAATTGTTTTAAATTTAAAAAAAAAAATTAAATATTTTTAAAATTAAAAATGAAAACAAAAAATGTTTATTATAATTTAATTATTATTACTATTCTTATTATTATTATTGTTAACCTAAATAATTGCTACATTTTTTGTGAATTTTCCATTTAGTTTTTTTTTTCTTGGATTAAATAAAAAAAGTTCAAAAAATTTTTAAATTTGAAAAAAATTTCTATTATATTTATTGATTTATTAAAAAAAAAAACAAATAAAAATGGTTAATTTGTTATAAAATTTTTATTTAAAGGTTTATTTAAGAGTAAATTGAATAAAAGTATAAGTTTTTACTTTGGAATTATTTTTTTTTTTTGTAATGGAAATATTATTGTTTAAATAAACTTTTGCTAATTTTTAATTGTTTGTTTGGATAATTTATTAATTATTAAACAAATAAATAATTATTTAAATGAATCGAACAGCTTAAATAAACAAATATTGGATAATTTAATTCGCATTGGTAAATTTGAATAAACAAAATTATAAGTAAGTAATAGTTGTATATACTCGAACGTACTACTTTATATGGCATGTTTACTTTACTTATTTACTTTACTCTTACTTTATACATTTTAAATACTATATATGAATAAACAAGTAATTAGTTGCACACACTTGAATACTTTATGTAAAATACTTACTTTACTTTGTTTTTATATTTTTTACTTTATTTTATATGAAAAAATCTAACTGAATATATACAAATTATATACTTAAGCAGTAAGTAACTGATATTGTAAAGTATTATTTCACTTACTTTTGCATGTTTGAATAATTTATCAATTGTTAGTAACGAGTTAATAATAGTTATTAAAAGTAATAAGGTAAAATACCTGTTTATAAAATATTTTTTCTTTTTTTTTTCCACTTTTTTTCTTTTTCCATTTTTTTTTTTCTTTAAAAATTTTTTATTTATTTTATAAAAATGAAATGAATTCTGAAGGGAATATAATATTATTGAAGAAAATGGATGAAAAAGGAAATTTTTATTTCTTATTTTAACATATTTCTTTTTTTCTGTAAAATAGAAACAAAACATTGAATTGAATAGAAAATTATCATTTTGAGAATTTTTAATTTTTCATTCTTTTTTTTTTCCTTTGACTTAATTTTTTTTTATTTCCAATATATAAAAAAAGTAGGAAATCAATCTAAATATATTATAAAGAAAAGTTTTTGGTTAAAATAAATTTTTCAAAAAAATACATTTTTCATTTTCTATTTAATAACATTTTTTTTTAAAAAAAAAAAGGAATTTTCTTTTAAATTTAAATGTTATTTAGCACAGTTTTAAATTCAGTTTGTTTTTTTACATAAAAAATATTTTACTAATTTGATTTTTCTTTTTTCAGAAAATTTGCTCCTCGATGTGCGGTATGCTCGAAACCAATTATACCTGAGGAAGGTCAAGAAGAATCGGTACGAGTTGTTGCGATGGATAAAAGTTTTCATGTTAATTGTTATCGATGCGAAGATTGTAATATGCAATTAAGTTCAAAAATTGAAGGACAAGGGTAAATTATTTTTAAATTTAAAAAAAAAAAAATTGAATTAAAAAATTTGAACATTAAATATATATGCAAAGAAATTGTAGAAATGATAATCTTAAAATTTTTAAAGTTTTTTAAGTTTTTTTTTTTATCATATTTAATAATCTTAAAAAAAAGTATTTGAATGATAAAAATTTGTAATTAAAATATTTAATTTGAATATGAATAATTTTAAATAATCGTTTGCATTTACATTTCTACTACTAATTTATAAACAAAAAAGAAATGCAAGAATGTTAGATTAAATAATTCGTTTAGTAGAAAAAAGAAAAATATGAAAAAAGCATGCAATTGAAAATAAAAAGTATGATTATAATGTAATTATTAATTATAATATGATAATTTTACATAATTAATTGTTCACTTATACTTCCTAAAATCAAATTTGCATGCAACTTGCAGACTTGCATTTTTACTTAATTAACTTGCATTAAAAAAGAAAAAAAAAAGGAATGCAAAATATGGAAAATATATTAACTTAAATAATTTTTCTTTTTGTACTCAATAAAAAATGATTGTTAATATTTGGAAAAGAAAAGTGAAATTATACAAACAATAAATGATTTCTATTATTTTTATTTTGAATGTTTTTTTTTTTTTAAATACAAATCGCACTAAAAAAAATGCTATATAAAGAATAAATTTTTTTTTTTTTTATTATTTAAATTAATTTTGACAGAAGAGGAAAAATGAGAATAAAACATTTTTTTTCAAAGAAAAAAAAATTAGATTAATAAAATAAAATAATTAATAATTACTAATTATAGATGTTATCCGTTGGATCAACATTTGTACTGCAAAAATTGCAATGGTAAACGATTGGTTGCATTATCAAAAGCAACTTAAAAAGGAAAGAAATAATCGAAAAATGAAATAATTTGGATCACAAAAATTATTCAAATATACGATGGAGCAAAAGAAAAAAAAAAAAACAAACAAACAAACAAAAATTGTATTTTTCATATTTCATTCATGAAAAAGGCTTATTAATTAATTAATTAATTAATGATTTTATTTCTTAACAAATAAATACTTATCATTTGCTAATTAATATAATTTATATGTTGTTATATTAATTAATCCACAAATATATTATCATTTATTATTAATTAATAAATGCCTTTTTTCATATTTGATGTTCCATTTAAAAAAAAAAAAAAAGAAATTGCTCTGCTGCTACTGCTTAATTTATCTACTGCTAATTAATTAATTGTCAATTTATTCATTGAACTTTTTTTTTCACCTTTTTAAAATATTATTAATTATTTCTTTGCAATATTTTTGTTCAATCAATGCTATAAAGTATAATTTTATTTTTGAGTAAAAATTCGAATAAAAGATTCAAATTCAAAGAAAAAGGAAATTTAAAAAAAATATATTTTTCTTTCCTGATGCAAAAACAAAAAAAAAAAAAATAAAGAAAAAGAGCAAAAAATAATGATGGCAATTGCTGATATGTTTAAAAGTGGAAAAAAAAATAATTAATATGATCGAAATTTGAAATTACTTATTTTATTCAATTATTGAATTAATTTACAATCAAAAATGATAAGAAAGAAAGAAAAGGGTAAAAATTTTTTAAAAAAAAATATCAAAAAAAAAAGAAATTAATTTTATTTATTAATGTATTAATTACTAATGCTTTCCTTTTTCTTTTTTTCTGCTATAATATTGAAATGAATTGACCGTTCAGTATTGTGTGTTTTCAGCAATTATTACAAATTAATTTCTGTATTTCTTTTCCAATTTCATTATTCGAGATAATTATTGAATAATTTTTGTTCTATACTTCTTTTTTTTTTAAGATAAATAAAAATTTACGAAGTTTGAAAGTATTTATTTATTGATTTTTGAGAATAAAAACTATTTGTCGTGTACATCAAAGCAGTTAAATATTTATTTGATCAGTTAATTGAATTTTATTCTATCTTCTACTGATTACTTATCATAAAAATAGTACTTAATGATGATTTACGAAAAAAAATTTTAAATTTGGATAAGTAACATTATCGTATATTATGCATTTAAAATTATCATACTGTAATTACAGTCAATCACTTAATTCTTACCGTAATAGATTCACTCATAATCCTTTAATTTCACTAAGCAAAGAAAAAATAAATTTAATGGGTGCGTATCATACTGTAGATTGGTTTGCTATAATTACAGTTATTCATTTAATTCCTACTGTAGTACATTCATATGAATTGCTTAAATTAAATTTACTAAACAAAAAATAAAAGAACTGCTAAATAGTGAAAGGTTGTTTTTTCGAAAAATAATTGAATCAAATTAAACATATCGAAATAACAATGCAATATGGCTAAGCACTGATTTTTAAGAAATGACTGATTAGATGTTAAAAAGTAAAGGAATAAAGTAATTATCAGTTAACAAATGTTATTATTAAAAATTGTACTTTCTTTTAGTGCATTAACTTTTTTTAGATTTTCAATTTTTTATGCCTTCCATCAATTTATATCGGATCATCTTATCCGAGAAAGCAAATCAGATTATTAAAATCAGATCATTATTGTATGATGCAAATTAAATTGTTCATAATGCAAGCAGATCAAACAATCACATGGGAATATTGATGCATAAATTAGATAGCTCATAGCTCATGAATTTAAAATCAAATCAAATACTTTATAACCAGGTCAATTTATTTATGATCACATCAGGAATTAGTTTATTTATTAAATTAAATGATCACATCAGAAATTAATGCATTCATTATTAAATCAAATTATTTATGAAATTTATGATCACAATGTCTTTTATCAATTTTATTCATTTATAACCATCGTATAAGATAAAAAAATATCAAGCAATGTCAAATTACAGTCAAGAATAATGTGATAAAAGTTTGGAAATGAAATTTGACAGGAAAAAGAAAAATTCAATATCGCTCTGCTAGTATTGAAAAAATAGAATGATAATGAGTAGTTGTCGTGAAAGTTTTAAAGATTTAAATTATTATTTTTGGGAGAGGTTGTTGATTTCGGGGAGATTTATTGGATGAGGTGTAAATGTATGAGGAATACAATAATTCCTTTATTAGCAGAGACAATAATACAATAACTTGATAAAAACAAATCAAAATCCTACTATCTTCATTCTTAGTTCATACAAACAATGCTCCTCTTTTCTTGGTCAAAACAAAACAATGGTGTCTTATTGGTGAAGCAAAACAATGGCATCTTATTGGAGGCACAAAACAATAGCGCCTTTTTGGTGATTTCCTTATGTAGCAAGCAAAATGAGTAAACAAAATATGAAGTAAACAAAAAAAAAAGAGGATAGGTTAAACCTACCGAAAGAGTAATCGGCGTAAACATAAGATTTGAAATAACATATTTTCAACTCTCATGTAGTAATTTAAAGTTTTGCGATATAAAATTTGTGACAGTAGATAAAAGAAATATTAATGAATATATTTGTTAAAATTATAGATCACAGATGTTTTATGCTTCCAAAGAAACGAAAAGCAAAAAAAAAAATGAGAGGAAGTTTTTCCTGAAGATAATATATCAGAAATTATCATTATTATCATTGGACATTATCGTTATCAGTAATTTTTACCTTAGATATTGCATTCAATTTCAACAACGATAATTGTAAACATTTACAACTGCAAAATTTAGGCAAATAAATCACAATTCATTATAAATGTAATAACAATAGAGCAGTTATTTTACTTTAATTAAAATATTTTAAATTTATTTATCAATCATTTTGCTTAGTAAATTTTAAATTCTTATTTGATAAGGTAGATTGTAAAAAGAGCAAAGTAAGCGAAACCATAGTTTATAAATAAACATAATTTACAATAATCGTTATAATTGACGTAACCAACATAACGACAACATATTTATTTAGTTTTATTCAAAATGTTCATAATTTATTTGCCAAGCATTTTGCCTAGTAGATAAGCTTTTTTTTCTTGGCTAAAAATAATTTGTAAAAACAAAATAAGTGAAGTAATAATTTGTATATGAACATAATTCATAATAATCGTTATAAATAACTGATAAAACAGAAACAAATATTATGAACTAATTAAAGCATTTAGAATTTATTTACCAATGATTTTACTTGGTAAATAAGTTTCATATTTGACAAAGCAATAAAATAAAGTGTAACAAAATACAAAGATTATGATTCATATGCAAATTGTAATTTATAACAATCGTAATTAACTGATATATAGCAATATATTTATTCGGCTTCCTATTAAAATTTTAAATTTATTTAGCTTCTTTTTACATGTTCCATTTATTTTTAAAATTAAACAATTTTAAACTAATTCTTATTTATCTTTTTTTTTTGTTGTTGTTGTCTCTACTATATCTAATCTCAGTTTTAATTAAATGAGTATGTATTTGTATCTGATAACAATAGTTTTTATCGTTGTGATAACTGATAGTGATAATTGTTATCGTTGATATTTACTTCATATTTCGCCTCTTCCTTTTATCTTTTCTTATCTTTTTTTTTCATTCTGATAAAAATTCCATATGGCTTTGTAAGTTTTAAAACATTAATGAAAAATTGAAGAAAGAATAGTTTTTCATTTAAAAATGAAAAAAGGATTTTCTTCATTCAATCAAAAGCCAAACATAAAAATGTTAAATCATAGATTTATTTCAATAACAATCTCAATAAAAGCCATATAGTACTATGCCAAAAACTGATTTTAATAAAGAGCCAAGTATAAAAGCCCAAACTATAAGTTTAGGCTTTTATTTCAGTACAAAAAAAAAAAAAGAAAGTTCTTATAGTCAAAGGCATTTTTCTATTTGACATTTCTTTTTTTTTTTAAAGGTTCGTTTAAATTTTAATGACTAAATCAGGCCAAAAAAAAAAAAAAACATTTCCCTCTCTCTGTTTGACAGATATGCGAAAATGTGATATATTATAGTGCTTGCAATAAATATATTTTCAGCCTAACTGGGCTCTTTTTTCCCTCTCCAAGAAATTCTCTTAACACACACTTCGGATTTGCTAAAAGCCTAGCACATTTGTTCTGCTCTAAAGCCTAGCAGATTTGTGCTCCGCTATAGCCTAGCACATATGTGCACCGCTAAAGCCCAGCCTAGCTCATCCATCCGTCCATTTAGCTAACCAACTAACCAACCAACTAAACCAGCCAACCAAGCAACCAACAAACCAACCAACCAACCAACCAGCCAAACAACCAAGCAACCAACCAATAATTCCTTCCCTCCTCTCAATCCTATCAATAAAGATTTTATACTTTTCCTCTCTATCCCTTTCCTTCCTCCCTCTCTCTCCCTTCTCTTTTTCTTTTCTTTCCTTTTCCTTTTTTCCATCAATAAATTTCCATTTCAATTCATTTTGCAAATTGCGTCATATTTTCTACATTACTTTTGCCATTTCTCTCTCTTTTTTTCTTCAATGAAAATTTTTACTTTTTTTTATTTTTTTTTCTCTTTCTCTCTCTCTTTCCAATTTTCCATTTTTTTCTCTTTTTTCTCATTTTTTTCTTCCTATTTATGCAAATAAATTTCTTTTCCGTATTTTTCTCTTTCTTTTTCCCCTCTCTTCCACTCTCTTTCTTTCTTTCTGTCTCAATTTTTTGAGACATTTCATTTTAACTAACAAAGATTGCTTCTTCTTCCTTTTTTTTTTTTTTTTTTTGTGAATTTCAAAATTAAATGTTTTATCGTTTATTTTGCTTTTCTTCTTTTCTACCATTTTTTTTTAATTCTCTTTCTTTCTTTCATTTTTCTTTGAAATTTTGCATTCAATATAATTTCTTAATTCTTAATATTATTTTATTTAATTATTATTTTCTAAAATGTATTTCAATAATTTATAAA